ACCCGTACTCTGAAAACTTAAAACACTGATGAAAGAAACTGGAAATGACACAAGGAAATCAAAACACATTCCATGCTCATGGATTGGAAGAACAAATATTGTTAAGATGTCTATAATACCCAAAGCAATCTACACATCTGATGCAATCCCTATCAAAATACCACCAGCATTTTGTCATGGAGCTAGAACAAACAATCCTAAAATTTGTATGGAACCACAAAAGACCCCAAATAGCCAAAGCAACCTTGAAAAAGAAAAGCAAAGGTGGAGGCATCACAATGCTGGACTTCAAGTTATATCACAAAGCTGTAGTAATTAGAAGAGGAAATCTTGGCACAATAAGAGACACATAGACCAATGGAACAGAATAAAAAAGCCAGAAAGGAACCCACAGCTATATGGTCAATTAATCTTTGATGAAGTAGGAAAGAATACCCAATGGTAAACAGTCTCTTCAACAAATGGTGTTGGGCACACTGGACAGTAACATGCAAAAGAATGAAACCGAGCCACTTTCTTACCCCATACACAAAAATAAAGTCAAAGTGGATTAAAGACCTAAATGTGAGACCTGAAACCATAAAAGTCCTAGAGGAAAACACAGACAGTAATCTCTCTGACATTGGCCATAGCAACTTCCTTCTAGATATGTTTCTTGAGGCAAAGGAAACAAAAGAAAAAATAAACTATTGGGACTTCATCAAAATAAGCTTCTGCACAGTGAAGGACATAATCAAAAGACTAAAAGGTGATATACTGAATGGGAGATATTTAGAAATAACATATCTGATAAAGGGTTAGTATCCAAAATATAAAAAGAACTTCTAAAACTCAACACCCCAAAAATAAATAATCCAATTCACAAATAGGCAGGATACATACATAGACATTTTTCCAAAGATGACACACAGATGGTCAACGGGCACATGAAAAGATGCTCAACATCACTGATCACCAGGGAAATACAGATAAAAATTACCATGACCTATCACCTCACACCTGTCAGAATGGCTAAAATCAACATAAGGAACAACAGGTGTTGGTGAAGATGTGGAGAAAGGGGAACCCTCTTGCACTGTTGGTGACAACGCGAACTGGAGCAGCCACTCTGGAAAACAGTATGGAGGTTCCTCAAAAAGTGAAAAATAGAACTACCCTATGACCCAGCTATTGCACTACTAGGCATTTACCCAAAGAATACAAAAATACTACTTCAAAGGGATATAAACCCTGGTGTTTATAGCAGCATTATCTACAATAGAGAAATTATGGAAACAGCTCAGGTGTCTATTGACTGATGAATGGATAAAGAAGATGTGATATTTTTATACAATAGAATATTACTCAGCCATAAAAAATAATTAAATCTTGCCATTTGCAACAACATGGATGCAGCTAGAGAGTATTATGCTAAGCGAAATAAGTCAGAGAAAGACAAATACCATAGGATTTCACTCATATGTGGAATTTAAGACACAAAACAAATGAGCAAAGGGGAAAAAAAAGAGAAATAGAGGCAGACTAAGAAACAGACTCTTAACTATAGAGAACTGATAGTTACCAGAGAGGACGTGAGTCAGGGGATGGGTTAAATAGGTAATGGGGACTAAGGAGTGCACTTCTGATGAGCACCAGGTGTATGGAAGCGTTCAATCACTCTACTATACACCTGAAACTAATATTAAACTGTATGTTAACTGAAATTCAAATAAAAACCTAAAGATATTTAAAAAATGGTTTAGCATCAGTGGTTTCCAAGGGCTTGGGGAGAGCAAGAGCAGGATGAGTTGGTAGAACATAGCGGATTTGTAGAGCAGTGAAAGTAATCTGTGATGGAGTGCCTGGCTGGCGCAGTCAGAGCGTGAGACTCTTGGTCTTGGGATTGGGAGTTTGAGCCCCATGTTGAGTGTAGAGATGACTTAAAAATATTTAAGAATATTAAATTAAAAACACTATTCTGTATGAATCTGTGATGGTGGATATATGTCATTATACATTTGTCAAAAGTCATGGAATGTACAAGACAGAGTGAACACTGATGTAAACTATGGGCTTCAGTTAATAATAATATATCAATATTGGCCTATTGATTGTAACAAATGTACCACATGTAATGCAAGACACTATAAACAGGAGAAACAGCATGAGAAGGGATGAGGGAGTATATGGAACTCTCAACTTAGCACTCAATTTTTGTGTAACTTGAAAATGGTACTAATAATAAAGTCCATAATTTTTTTTAAAAAAGGGCATTAATGACTTATCTAATAAACAAGTAAATATCGAGTTAAGTCTGTTATTCAGTTGACAGTCCTTAATAAAGAGAACACTTTCAATAAAGAACTGAGAGTTGATGGAAGGAAGTGGGTGTGCTAAATGTGCTAAACCGGGTGATGGGCATTAAGGAGGGCACTTGTGATGGCACTGGGTGTTGTATGTGATGAATCACTAAATTCTACTCCTGAAACCAATATTATAGTATATGTTAACTTGAATTTAAATAAAAATTTGAGAAAAAAGAGAAGAACTCTTACATATTGCTAGTGAGAATCTGCCATCACTGTAGAAAACAGTTTGGCAATTTTTTTATAAACATACACTTGTCATATAGTCCAGAAATCTAATCCCAAATAAAGACATACAGATATAATTTTTTTTTAAAAAAGAGAACACTTTCAGAACTAAAGGAAATGCTTTTGCTGACAACTACAGAAAAACACACTTTGTGTAAAAGTGATCTTACAAATATTAGCGTAATGAGTATTGCTCACTCTGGTTTCACAATCCAGAGGGCTTTTGCCACCGTGAAAGGTTAAGTGATGTTGATTATTTCAAACCTATCTCCCATCTCTTGGTTTCACCCCAAACCATCTTAAGATGGATTGATTCAAACACTAAAAATATCGGTAGGAAAATTTATCCAGGAGTCTCTACAGGTGAGCCAATCTTGAAATACTGGCAATTATCATAAGCCAGAAGTAAATGTAACACTAAATCAGTGCTCAAAACCTTAGCTTCCAGGACCATTGAAGCATTTTCTAACGGACTTCATTGACTTTATCCTATCATAACCTGAAATGTGTCTTAAAATTGTTTATGTAATTCTAGTTGAGTTAAAGATTTCCACAACTTTTCATCATTTACTTGGATATGATTTCAAACAGAATTTACAGTTTCTTCATCATTTACTTCACTATCCTCATTATCTTTATTAAAATTATGTTCCTGTGAAGGCAGACCAATCAACTCTCATTATGGTGGTATAATCCATCAAGACTGCTTTTTGTACAGTTATCAACCGAAGCATTTAATATATTGTGGAAAAATATAAAATTTTATTGATTTTAAAACGTACAGCTCAGTGGCCTTATTCACACTGTATGCCATCACCATCACCACCTTCCATCTCCAGAACTCTCTCATCCCAGAGGGAAAGTCTGTCCCCATTAAATAATAACTCCCCATTCCTCCCTCCCCTAATCCCTTATAACCACTGTTGTGTTTCTGCTTCCATGACTTTGACTCTTCTACATATCTTCTTGCTATCAGCTTGCCAAGTGCTTGCCAATATGGTTGAATTTTTCAGAAAACCGATTCTGGGTTTCATTGGTATTTTTTCCTCCTTTTATTGAGGGGTTTTCTATTCTCTAGTTCCTTTGCCTGTGCCCTAATCTTCATTAGTTTCTTCCTTCTGCTGATTTGGGATTTGGTTTTTCTTCTCTTTCTGGTCCTTGGAGGCATAAAGTGGGGGTTGCTGATTTGCGACTTTTATTCTATTTTAATGTAGGAGTTTATGCTGTAAGCCACACTTTTAGCACTGCTTTTGCAACATTCCATTTGGGGTCTGTTGTGTGTTTCATTTATTTATTTATTTTTTTTCATTTCTCCCCAGCTAGCTTCTAACTTCTGCTCCTGAACCCCTTGGTGAATTTTTCACTTCAGTTCTCGTATTCTTCAGCTCCAGAGTTTCCGTTTGGCTCTTTTCCACAGTTTTTATCTCTTGGTGATATTTTCATTTTTCTCATGCATCATGTTCCTTGGTTTGTTGTTTATTTGTGTTCTCTTTGAGACTATTGAGCATCTATCTTTAAAATAATTATATTGAATTCTTTGTCCGGTAATTCACAAATCTGCATTTCTTCAGTGGTAGTTTCGGGAGATGAATTTTGTTCCTTTGGCTCATGTTTTCCCAGTTTCTTGGCATATCTTGTGAATTTGAGTTGAAATGTGGGCTTTTGGAAAAACAGCTATTTCTCCCAGTCTTTACTGGCTTCATGATGGGGAAGATCTTGGGCAATCTGCCCTGTTAGAGATTCTGCGGACCTTTTCAAGCTTTAATGGGGACGTAGTTTCTCTGAACTGGTGCGTGGATTTTCTCAGTTAAGAGGTTTGCCTGCTTCTTCTCTGGAGCCTGTAAACACTTGCTCCCCCTGGTGTTTGTCTGAGATGCTACAATCTCCCTACAGCTCTGTAAGTTAGTGTTTGTTTGTTTGTTTCTCAGGGGCCCCAAGATGGCCCCCAGACTGCCATTCCCAGCAGGGCTCTAAATCACACCAGATGGAAAACATTCCTCGGCCATCCCTGAAAGCCAGAATGTAATACCCATGGTCCACTCCTCTCCTTTCATCCAAAGAGAAAGTGGAGTTAGGAAGGAATCCTCTGATCATGCCACACGGGGCCAGGGATGAGGAGTGACTAGAACAGGAAAAATAACCTTGCCTGATCACTTTTCTGTAACTCTTCTTGACTTTGTGCTTCTCCAGGTGCTACAGCCTCTCTACTGGTTTCTCATAATGGCTATTTGATCTATATATTATTGTCTCCTCGGAGGAATGGAGGAAACTCAGGGATTTCTATTCTGCTACCTGGCTAATTTAACTCTTTTGATAATTCTCACCATCAAATCATGAATCTTCTTGGGGAAATTTCTTGAGTTTTAATACACCAGCAATCATATCTCTTGAGAAGACAAATTCCCTGCTGAAAAATTCTACCATTCTTCATATTGCCCTCTTTTTCTGCAATGCTCTGTTAAAAGCAGCCTTCATCTGAGCATTCCTTAGACTGTAGATGAGAGGGTTCAGCAATGGGTTGAAGAGTGGTGAAACAGGGTAAGGATTTTCTGCTGCTCCTCACGTTGACTACTGTCTGGGACCAAGTCAACCATCAGGGCTATGCCAAAGTAGACTCCAACCACACAGAAGTGTGAGGAGCAGGTGGAAAAGGCTTTTCTGCGCCCCTCCTTTGTCTGGATCTTCAGGATGGCCCAGAGGATGCACACGTAGCAGATCAACACCGGGGAGAGGGGCCCAACTAAGATAAACACACCACCAGCAAAGACAAAAACTTCATTGATCCAAGTATCACCACAGGCCACTTTGAGGACAGATAGGATTTCCCAGAAGAAGTGGTTCACCTCCTGGGGCCCAGAGAAAGTCAACCTTAGAGAGAGAATTACATGTACTAGGGCTAGGGAAAATCCACATGCCCAGATAGCGATGACCAGGAGCATGCACACTGTCCAGTTCATGATGACAGTGTACTGGGGCAGATGGCAGATTGCCACGAACCCGTCATAGGCCATCACTACCAAAATCAGGCACTCTTCACCAGCACAAGTCACAAACAAAACTATCTGCATAGCGCACGAGACAAAGGAGATAGTTTTTTTGTGCTTCACTAGGTTTTCCAGCATATTGGGCGAACTGATGGAAGCATAGCATATGTCAATGATAGCCAGATGAGAAAGGAAGAAATACATGGGGGAATGCAGTCTGAGGTCCAGCCAAATGAGTCCCAAGATCACGCCATTTGCCAGCAGGTTGAAGATATATAACAGGGAGAAGACACAGGAGAGGAGCACTTCAGTGTCTTTACTGAGCTGGAATCCCACCAGGATGATTTCTGGTCCACGATTGGTTGCCCCCCCCCCATTCCTTGATGAAAGTTTATCAAGGACTGAAGTGTGATAGAAAGGTCAATGCTGGATATGAATGAAAATTGAAGTTATTTACTCAGAGGAAAGGAAAGTTATGAACTCAGAGGAAGCTTTTATGCCTGTCCCTACTTGACTTTTTCTTGTCCAATGTTTTAGTTTAAAATTTTTATTCAGGGGGCGCCTGGGTGGCGCAGTCGGTTAAGCGTCCGACTTCAGCCAGGTCACGATCTCGCGGTCCGTGAGTTCGAGCCCCGCGTCGGGCTCTGGGCTGATGGCTCAGAGCCTGGAGCCTGTTTCCGATTCTGTGTCTCCCTCTCTCTCTGCCCCTCCCCCGTTCATGCTCTGTCTCTCTCTGTCCCAAAAATAAATAAACGTTGGAAAAAAAAAATTAAAAAAAAAAAAATAATAAAATAAAATTTTTATTCAGATAACTATCCAAAAATTAAAACAATATGATTATATATAGTTTACCAAATTGTTTTAAAGTTTGCTTCATCAATTCTTTTTTTTTTTTTTTTCCTATGTACACATTTTCCCCCTTGGCCACATAAGAGTAAAATGTAGGCGTAATGCCAATTTGTCCCTTCGTTTTCTTCTAAGACAAGGATATTCATATTCAGGATAAGTAACCAAAATCAGGAGATGTAACATTAGCATGATTCTCTATTCTAGATACAGCATTTTCTTCCCCTCTGGTCCAAGATGCAATCTTGCACACATTGCATCTCCTCTAATATGAAATAATCACTCAGTCTTTCCCTTGAAATTGATATTTTTGAAGCATACACACCAGTTGTTTTTTTATGTCTCTCAACTTGGGTTTTCCATTTATTGCCCCTTTTTAGTTCAAAATATAAATTTCTAATAGGATATAAAAAGTGTCCTTCTTAATGGCTTCCATTAATATACAGGTAATGTTAATTTGTCCCAATACTGGTGGTACAACGTGGATCTTGGTTAAGGTGGAGTCTTCAAATTATCTCCAGCATAAAATTATTACTCCACAATTTAAAGCACTTTCTCACTTCTGGCTTCCTAAATTGTTCTAGCCTCAAGTTGTTTATTTCCCACTTCAGCCTGAAATAAGTTATTTCACTAAAAAGATCTAGTTCCTTTCAGTGAAGAATCTTATTTTCCAAAAAAAATCTGATTTTATTGGATCTTTAACAATATTTTTATCATGATTATTGCCAAATTTCTAATATCCTCGTTTAATTAGTAGAGCATATAATTTGACATGCAAACTGTTAAGGGGATGATAAATTCTTAAACTTACTTGTTTAATCCTAATACATCTTTACAGACTTCCTTTGGAGGGCCAAATCTATTTTACTAAATTAACATTAAGATTAAAGAAAATGATCTTGATATGATACAGTGGTTTATTTTGGGCAAAAGGATACTTCTAGTCTTATTTAAAATTTTTTGTTTTTCTTTATATTTAGACAATCATAGATTCTTGGGAATTTCAGATTCACAGATTAGTTTCAACAGCCTGATACAATCTGTGAATGAAGACACACCTCATATGAAATTTTGACAAGTTTTTCAAAGTGTCTTAGGAAAACATGAAATTTAATGAAAGACTAAAGAGATAATACTGGGAAACATGGCCAAAAGTGATCATTGTTAATAATTTGCATATAGTGTTTCATTACTTACTGTACATAGAATTTCATATATAATTAAAAATTAAACAGTGTTATTTCTTTTAGAATCAGTTCATGTAAATTCCCCATGACAAAATACTTTTCTGGAGCATATGTTGTCAGCTGCATACTATTTTATCTTTTAACTGATTTAATATATTACCTTCTACTATATTGCATGCAATAGAAATTATGGCCCATGCTGACTCCATTTCATACATAAATTTTTTGTACCTTTTGTTATTTTCCCATAATAGATTCATAGACACGAAAGTTCTCAGTCAAATCTATCTCTGTCATCATCTTTCTGTCTAAAAAGCAAACAAGCAGGAGAAAAGAAATCCAGACATATTATCATCAGAAGAAATCACTTGGGAGGAAAGAATCTCTAACTGAATTATCATGACTAATCTCAAACTCACCTTTCCTATGAAAGGGCCCCCACTTCAGCTTTTCAGCTTCTATTATGCTGACTCTCAAGTTTTTATACAATTTGGTCCAACCTGGTGTAAAATGTACTTCCTCTGGTTCGTTCTTAGGTCACCTTCATATTAAATACCAACAAGGAGTAAGACTAGTTACTGGAAAGTGAGATTTTATGAAGGTTAAGTATAATCTGATGACAATGTATGTAACCTCTGGTGTACTGGGTTAAATCTGTCTTTCTTAGTTGATTACAGCTGAGGGCTGTCTATCCTCCAATTTCAGGGAGCTGATTACAATGGACACCTGTCTCTTACTGCCGAAATAATTCCATGTGGAAGTAATTATCCTAACACCAACTATTCATCATTTCCTTCCTAGACATCTTTTTACATTTTAACACCAAAAGACACACATTTCTTTGTTTCCATCTATTGGCTTTTCTTAATTCCAGTTTGTGGCCCAACAGGTACTCCTGTTTCCTAGATGAATGACAACATGGAATGAGTTATTATTTGAGGCCAATATCACCCATTACACAGAAATGTCTTTACCTTTACAGTCATTCAAGTTAAAAAATATTTAATGTGAGGGTCGCTTGGAAGATGGCAGCGTAGGAGGACACTGGGCTCACCTCGTCCTGCTGATCGCTTAGATTCCACCCACATCTGCCTAAATAACTCAGAAAACTGCCAGAAGACTAGCAGAATGGACTCTCCAGAGTCAAGTGTAGACAAGAGGCCCACAGAAGAGGGTAGGAAGGGCAGAGAGGCAGTGCATGCTACACAGACTGGCGGGAGGGAGCCAGGGCGGTGTAGGGTCAGCCAGCCCACCCGGCAAGGCAGAGCCCCCGAGTCTGGGTTGCAAAAGTGGAGGGGCCAGACGGAGGGTGTTCTGACATCCAGTGGGACTTAACATCTGGAATGTTATAAGTCAACAGTTCTGCTCAGACAGCAGGAGGGTGAGAGGACACCAGAAGGGAGAGATGTTAAGCCCTGGAAGACAGAGCTCAGCTCAGTGGGGAACAAAGGCTCTGGGAAGCACCATCTCCCTCGCCCATCTCCCAGCCGAAATCCCAAAGGGAACCAGTTCCCGTCACTGAACTTGCTTGCACCGCGCAAACACCCAATGCTGTGCTTCTGTGGATCCATCCCTCCGACAGGTCTGCCTCCCTCCCGGTGCTGCAGAGCCCCTCCCAAAGCCAGACCACTGAAGGCAAAGAGAGCTGAGTCTGCCCCTCCTGCCCCTGTGCACCTTGCGGATCCACCCCAGCTAATATGCCAGATCCCATAGAAGCAGCACCACAAGCCTGGCAGGGTGCAAGTAGCCCAGATGGGGCCACACCACTCCACAGTGATTCCTGCCCCTGGGAGAGGGGAAGATAAGGTACACACCAGTCTGACTGTGGCCCCAGTGGTGGGCTTGGGGCAGACATCGGGTCTGACTGAGGCCCTGACCACCAACACAAGTTGCTCCACACAGCACAAGGGAAAAGCTCTGCAGTTCCATGCCACTCCAGGGACTATCCAAAATGACGAAACAGAAGAATTCTCAAAAGAAACCCCAGGAAGTAGCAACAACTAACAAATTGATCAAAAACGATTTAAGCAATGTAATGGAACATGAGTTTAAAATAATAGTCATAAAATTAATCACTGGGCTTGAAAAAAGTATAGAGGACAGCAGATAATCTACTGCTACAGAGATCAAGGGACTAAGAAACAGTCAGGAAGAGCTAAAAATGCTATAAATGAGGTGCAAAATAAAATGGAGGCGACCACAGCTCAGATTGAAGAGGCAGAGGAGAGAATAGGTGAATTAGAAGATAAAATTATGGAAAAGAGGAAGCTGAGAAAAAGAGAGATAAAAAAATCCAGGAGTATGAGGGGAGACTTAGAGAACTAAGTGATGCGATGAAATGCAATAATATCCATAGA